CAAGGGCGTAGTGTTGATTTCAGTGGAGCCACTTTCGTGCTTAACTTTAAGCACGTGTTCAAGTGCTTTCCTGAATTGAGACCTTGGAGAAGTAGCTGCATTTCTCTGGTGGATGAAATAGCTCTGGGCGTAACAGGTTGAACAGTGTGATAGAAATGCAGGGTCATTACAGTGACTGACAGGCAGGCCAAATGCTACTGGCACCGAGACATTTCACAAACATTCTTTCTCCTCCCTTTCTCTACCGTTCTTCCATCATGAGGCGAGGACACACAAAGGGAGTCAATGTATGTTGTTAGCTGCACAGAAGGAACAAAGCTGGTGAATGGCACTGCATGAGCTTACTAGTGGGATGTTGTTGTTGTAAGACTTTGGTTCATTCCAGCTCCCCCCAGTTCATTCCAGGGTACTTGCCCAGTGGGGTGTCAGCAGATCTCTGGTAAAAGAGGAGAAAAGGAACTGGTGAAGGCTGGGGTCTGCAGGGGGCAGGCTGAGTTTCCTCTGAAGAAATCTGCAGGGAGAATAGATGTATGAGTGACCATGACAGATCCCATTGTTTTGAGTTGTTAAGTACACACAGCACTCTCTAAACACATGGAAAACAAGATCCCTGTGCTTGTAGCTGGACTGGCTTTGTGAAACCCTGACTCCATCCATTTCAAAAAGTGGTTGGATGGTATCACTATTTTCCTTCCACCCAAAGAAGGCATCACCCTACATGGTTATTAGCCAGCTCCAATTTCACACATGCACTTTTTCTTGGTGTCCATCCATTACTCTTCTTTGAATGCTTTTAGTTCTTTATTTTAATCTGATTGACTGAATCTCACATTATAGATTCCTCTCTATTTTAAGGGGCTGTTGTTACAGTTTGCAAACCAGTTTGTATAAATGATGAAGAACTGATACAGTGACCTTCCAGCTCTGATTTTTTGAAAGGAACATCTAACACTCAAAGTGTAATTGCTGTGTACTTGTATATTTATATTATGGTAGCACACACAGGACTCAGTCAGGATCCAAGGTCCCATTGTGCTGGGTGTGAAACCTTGGGGGAAGTGTTTCTTCTGCTCTACTCCATGCTGATTAGGTCTAAACTGGAGTATTGTGTCCAGTTCTGGGCACCACATTTCAGGAAAGACTAATTGGATAAAGTTCAGAGAAGATCAACAAAAAGGATTAAAGGTCTAGAAAACATGACTTACGAGGGAAGATTGAAATAATTGGGTTTGTTTAGTCTGGAGAAGAGAAGACTGAGAGGGGACATAACAGTTTTCAAGTACATAAAAGATTGTTACAAGGAGGAGGGAGAAAAAGTGTTCTCGTTAACCTCTGAGGATAGGACAAGAAGCAATGGGCTTAAATTGCAGCAAGGGCAGTTTAGGTTGGACATGACATTAGGAAAAACTTCCTAAATGTCAGGGTGGTTAAGCACCAGAATAAATTGACTAGAGAGGGTGTGAAATCTCTATTGGAGATTTTTAAGAGCAGTTTAGACAAACACCTGCCAGGGATTGTCAAGAGAATACTTAGTCCTGCCATGAGTGCAGGGGACTGGACTAGATGACCTCTCAAGCTCCCTTCCCGTCCTACAATTCTATGATTCTGTGTGGGGTACATTCTCCCCTACCTAAATGACTGATGTCCTGGCAGTGTGGTATCTGTGACGGGCAATTTAACTTCTCTGTGTCTATCGGCAGGCTCAAGTAGTACCAAAAGGTGCATATAAGCGAGTATTGCCTGTGGGCCTTTACTCCCTAATGGCAGTAGCAAAATTAAGAACATGGTCCACAGATTGGGCAGATTGGCTTCTAATTTTACTTCTTCAGCTAGGCACCTCTATAGAACTTCTCACAGATGTTGTTGATAGAATTAGGCAAATTCACCCCAGCTGCAGTGCAGAGCTCATCTGGTGAATTTCCTGGTGTTTGTGCTTCTTCACTTTGATCTTCATGGAATGAAGTATTCCCCTGCTACATGATTTAGTTTAATTGTAGAATGGAATCATATGAAGATTCACCACCTCCTTCAATTTGTATGCTTGCATTAGCTACTTTTTAATCAAATTTTCCAGATTACTGGAATGTCTTCCACAATTCTACCTCCATAGCTTTGGAAACAGAAATGAATCCTCAAGGACAAAGCATGTCCTGGTGCAGGGTTGGATGGATCCTTCTCCCAACTCTGCCTGTACCTTGTAGATATGTAATTCACTTTCAATTGCTGTAGTGTCATATAGACTAATGATTCTCACCTATCTGCAATTTTCTCATTTACTGTGGGACTAAGATTGTGTAATACGTCTCTATCTCCCACTTCTACAGTAGACGTGATTACTTTGGCATACCATCGCCACTTGTTTGCCAACTGATGTTTCTCTGTTTTCTTAGTAGCTAAATTATATGCATAGCAAAGTCTGCATCTCAGGTCCTTCCCATGCTGCTGATAGGTTACCGCAGCTTGCCTTTGCTGTTGGATTTCAAAGTACAAATCAGTTGATAGCAAAGGATGCCTGCCAAGCGTAGAAAGTATGGGGTCTCTCCCATTGCATCATTCTTAGCACAATTATATACCAATCCTTTAACTAGCAACTATGCTTGAGGAAGATCCTTTTGTCCTTTCCTGCAGGTTAGTGTTTACCCCATCTAGACAGGGCCGGCGCAACCACTAGGCGACCTAGGTGGTCACCGAGGGCACCAGGATTTGGGTGGTGGGTCCCTCGGTGGCATTTTGACGGCAACGTCCCATTCTTCAGCGGCATTTTGGCAGCAGGATCTTCGGCCACCGGCAGCATTTCGGCAGCAGCTTCTCCTCTTCCGTCCTTGGCGCCACCTGGGGCGGCAAAAAAGCTGGCGCCGGTCCTGCATCTAGAGTATCTGCTTGTCAGCAACTTATTTATTAAACTGTATTGGGAGAATTTTCACAGTCTCCCATAAAGTCTCCCAGTACTTTATATCTATGCTTCATTAGCCAGCATTTAAAGAATGCTGTTTATTGGAGTTAGTGCCTGGACTATATGTCCGTACAAATAAATGCCTTTTGCAGTTCAGATTTCTTGAAGATAAATATGCTCTAAACCTTTAAGGACTAGCCCTGAGTTAAAAAGGCTTCTGCAGAAAGATTGCCCTGATTAAGGGAGCTATGATGGGAGACTGCATCCACAATACCCTGTTCCCCCAGGGGTCCAGAGACCAGACAACATTGCCCCAAGTGTAGATGATGCTGGGTGAGACAGAGGATGGCTGGGATGCCTAGAGGATACAATGATTCTGTGCCTCCCTTAGCAGCCAGCTTCACTGTGACCATTATAAAGATCCCGTCACAGATTAAAGTTTTCATCCCACAATGCAACCATTGACTGGGAACAGTGGTACAAATGCTTCTGGCACCTGCGTCAGTGTTGGGGCAGTTCTCAAAATGCTGAGCACATGAAAAAAGAATTTTAAGCATCCATGAATTTTCAAAAAGCCAGAAGAGGGATTGGAGAGACCGGGGGGTAAGGTAATATCTGTTATTGGAGTTATTAGTTCCTCGAGTATTTTCAGAGCTGTAGGCCTATTTTAACAGGCAGCACTGGGGCTGCTTTACACGTCACTCTGACTACCGTCGGAAATCTGTGACAATCCCAGAACAGTGTTGGAAGACTAAAACTAACCACTATGAAAAATTACATAGCCTTCTAGAACCAGCTCTGTCCCCTTCTTTCACCCTAAACAGTCCTCCTCCTCACCAGTTCAAGAGGGATGGACATATGGAGAAAGGATGGTTCATTATACTGGAAGGGTGCTATGGTGGGACAGTTCAGTAGCTAGTGGGGATGGATGAGGAACTTGGGGGACTTCAGAAGAGTTTCCTAACTTGAAGACGGCTTGGCATGCTTCTTCAGGGGGTTCTGGCAGAACTCAGTGGCTATGGAAGGGGTTCAGATCTGGAATTTGGTGGTGCAGATGTAGCAGGGCCAGTTTAATGACTCAGGGAGCCATGCAGGAGGACTCTACTGTTGAAGTTGATGGGAGCTGCAGGCCTTCAGTATATCTCAGGGTCTGGAGTGCAATTATTCAGTATCGTCAGCATGTGAACAACAATCCATGGGGCCCCTACAGGTCAAAATGCCATTTTAAG